AAGTCTAAATATACACAAAAACCTAAAATATTGGTAGGAAACTTTTTGAAATGAAGAGGATCCCCAATTATACATTAAATTTCTAATATAAAGTTATATGTATAAATTCGGTTAATTTTTAATAAAATTTATTAATTTCGTATTTTTTATTTAGTATATTATAATTATTTGAATAATACATTAATAGAGAGAGAGAGAGAGTTAATAGATTAATTATTTTTATCACATAAAATTAATTAAGTTTAATTAATTGAGTATAGTTAATTAAACAATTTAAATAATTAAAAGTTTTCCGGTTAATTCAGATTCGACAGATAATATAGTGAAGGAAAAGTAAATAATTTTTTTGTGTAGATCTCTCTCAAATTATTTCTAAACGAGTTTTTATTCTCTTGAAAGAGATCTTTCCACTGTACATATGTGTAATCGGATTAAATTCACAGAAAAAGATGCCATTTTGTAAATCAACGGCGAGGAGTCTTATATGTTCGCTTCGTTCGAAATCCCCGTTCTTATGCTATTTTTTAAAGCAATTTGTGATAATTGACATTATTAGAAAATGTTATTACAATTTTATACGGTTCCTATTCCCCGCATAAAAACAGGTCTGACTGTAGTATTATTCCCCCCTAATTTAGTCGGTTGAGAAATGATTTTTAAAAATAATGAAATGGAACATGATTCTAAGTACTGCAGCGTTTTTTAAGATTTTGAACTGCGTTTTTAAATGCTGTGCTGGTAATTATTTATTTTCCATGTCAAATTTAAAAATCTCTTCCTGTGAAACTTTTATATTATTTTTTATATCATTTCTTTTTTTTCTTAAAAAAGAAGTCACTGATTTTTAATATTAAATTTCAAAATAGAATTTTTAAGGGTATACATTACCCTACAAAGGACAAAAATATCGATTTTTTTTAGTTTTCTTATGTTTCATATAATTGGAAAGCCTTCCCCCAAATTTCAGATATGATAACCAATTAGTTTTCAAGATATTTGAAGTTTTCTGAGCTTAGATTTTAGTTTTGATTTCATTTTGAAGCATTTTTCAATTCTTAGATAGAATTAATTAAAAATATTTTTGAGCACAATCAGCTTTATCAGTGTGAAATGATTGTTAACTTCAATTTTTATTACTAAAATAATTTCTGTTTGTCTATATTTTGAGCTTTTTGAGCTCTCATAGTTTCTTAATTAAGATTTCAAGATCAAACAATATCTTTACGAATAGTTTATATAACTAAGAAGCTTTTTCATTAAATTTTCATGTTGAGAAAATGCCAAGTTCAAAACGTTCTCAGGTTGCTATGCAAAACAATATTTGGATGAGATGGAATATTTTCTGAAAATAATGTATCTAGGAACAAACACTCAGAGGGACATTTAGACTTCCGCGAGAATACAAGTACTTTGAATACAAGCATTGCAGGTAAAACTGAACATGTCCATACTGTACTAAACTACATTCTAGTAATTAAATGTAGTACTATATTACAGTATTTTAAAGTGGTGCAACACAAAGATTCAAACTTGCTTAACTACCCCCATTTAAAACGGAAAATAAATTAAATTTTATGCACAAACCTGGTTATTTTTGGTGGTTTTATTTTGGCTATCATTATTATTTTGTGCATAAATGCTTTGTGTTTCAGAAATTTTGTAAAAATATTGTGTAAGGATTAGGTTGGATAATCTGTCTTCGTAACAAATGTGTTATCAATATTACGCACACACACACAAATACATTTTGAATTAAAAATAAATATTTTCCGTCATATTTAATTACACACACAATAGCGTTTTAATGTATAACAAGTTAAGTGAGTGAATATTAAAGTCGCACTGTTCAGCTACACGAGGGTTTTGGGGGACGAACTACGTAATTTTGAACCATGATTAAGTGACGAGGACGACGCCTGAGCTGGCACTCTCCTCTCCTAACTACCTCACCAACGGGATGACGGTTGAGCTCTCGACAGATTTAACGTACACCGTTCCCCTTCATGGCGGTCTTTAGCTGTACTGAGCTCGAACCTGTGACAAAGCCATCCACAATCTGATGCCTAGACCACTCGGCTACCGCGGCCACATAACAAAAGTTGAGAAATAATGTATTGAAAATTACTGCTTTGCATATATTATTAGTTTTAGTTTTATGCATTTACTAGCTTTAAATATGTTTTTCTCAGACTTTGAATTTTGAAGATGGAAGTCTTCTATTCCCTAAGGCTTTTTTTTCTGTTCATGATAGAAGTTTGAAATATTTTTTTTTTTATGATTTCATATATATGTTTTATAAAAGCTAGCATGTATTTAAGTCTGAAATCGTTAGTCGTTTTCTTAAGAAATGTTAAAATTAATATTTTAAAAACTTTTTTGTTTTTTAGGTTTAGCTATAAAAAAATTATTAAAATCAACAAGGGAAAATATTTTCAAATCCATTCTTACTTTTGTTTCCAATAATGAGAGAAACATAAATCACTTAAAATGACTAAAAAATTTAAAAATTAAACATTTTATGAAAGTTTAAGAAACACTTCTAAAACTCTTGGTTTTTTAAAATTATAAAATAATGGCTTGTTAAACTGACTTTTTACTTTCAGAATCAACTTAATAATATAATATGAAAGTAAAAAAAAAAAAAAATTACTTTTGCTGTTATTGTCTCCAAATTTTTTTTTAAAAAAAAGGGTACTGTGTAGCCTCAAACGAAACAAAAACTATAATAGAATCGGTTGTTCGTATTGTTTACAATTTTAATGCTTATATTTTTTAGTATTTGCTTTAAACGTTGAAAAATTAATAATAATAATAATTTTAATTGCAATAATTTTAAGGTTACACGGTACCCTTTTTCAAAAAAAATTTTCGGAGACAGTTACAGTAAAAAAAATTGATGCTTTATATTTAGATTATATTATTAAGCTGATTCTGTAAGCAAAAAGTCAGTTTGACCAGCCATTATTTTACAATTTAAAAAAAATTAGGGAGTTATTGAAGTTTTTTCAAACTCTTATAAAATACTCAATTTTTAAAATGTTTTAGTCATTTTTAGTTATTTATGATTCTTAGATTATTAAAAGCAATATTTAGAATGGATTTGAAAATCTATTCCCTTGTTGATTTTAAATAATTATTTTTCTATAAAGACATGGAAAAAACACGAAAATTTTTAAAATATCAACTTAAGCATTTTTTAGAAATATAACTAGAGCTCACAGCCCTAAATCCATACTAACTTTTATAGAACATACATTTGGGTGTATATACAAAAACATTCAAGGCTCTATCTTGAACAGGAAAAAAACCTTAAGGATTAGAAAACACTTATACCTTCAAAATTAAAAGTCTGAGAAAAACGCATTTAAAGTTTGTAAAGTCATAAAACAAAAACTTATAATGCCCGTAAAACTCTAATTTTTTAATATGTTATTTTCCAATGTATTTTCTACATTAAAACACTATTTTTATTAAACATGACTGAAAATTATATTTTTAATTCAAAATATATTTTTGCAAAATATTGATAGCATTTGTTAAGACGTCAGTTTATTCGGCTTTATCTTAACCCAATATTTCACAAAAGTTTTGAAACACGAAGCATTTATGTACAAAATAATAATGATACTAACTTAAGCTAAAAATAGTCAGGTTTGTTCATAAAATTTAATTTTTTTCTGTTTTAAATTGGGGCAGCTTAGGAAGTTTTAGCTTTTGACGTACGACTTTAAAATACTAAAATATAGTACTACAATATGTTTAGTGTAATGTAGTTTGGTACATCAAGGAAATATCCAGTTATATCTGCAGCATTTGAATTCAGAATACTTTTATTTGGAAGTCTAATTGCAGAATCAGCTGAGGACTGATTCTTAGATACATCATTTTCAGTAGTATTCCATCTCTTCGAAATATTTGCCATGGCATTTTCTCTGCAGGAAAAAAATAATGATAAAGCTTTTAAGTTATATAAACTATTTTTAAAGCAAAAATTGGCCATGAAATTAATCTTTATTAATTAATTATGAGAACTCAAAAAACTTAAAACATAATCAAGCAGAAATGATTTTAGTAAGGAAAATTGGAATTAATAACCATTTCAAACTAAAAGCTCAAAAATATTTTTAATTAATTAAACTTAAGATTGAAAAATGCTTTAAAAGGAAACCGAAACTAAAACCATAGCTCATAAAACTTCAAATATCTTAAAAACTAATTTGCTAACAGATCTGAAATTTCGTGGCAAGCATCTCAATGATATGGGCCACCAAAACATGCAAATAAATTTTTTTTCGGTAAAAATGAAATTTTTAGGGTACTGTGTAGCCTTAAAAGAGGAAGCCAAGTTTTTGAATTCCTGCATCATGTGATACTTTTTTTTTTGTAAGGCCAACAAAAAGTAATCTCTTTAAAAATGTCTTTGTATCGGTAAAAATAGCTATTTGGTTCCTTGAATGAATTTATAATGTGAGAAATTAAATATTTGAAATGTAGTGAAAGAAATTCACATTAACACACACAAATTTATCATATTACCTTCTTTTATTCAGTTTTATATAAAGTGGGCATAACTTTTTGTTAATAAATCAACGATGTAAATTTTTTCTATGAAAGAATATTAGGCCTCGTTTTAGAAAATGAAATAGGTGTGATTTCGATAAAGCATTTTGTTCAAATGAATGTGTGTGTGTGTGTGTGTGTCTACCCTTTTTCAATATTCCTTTACTCTTAGTTCACACACACACACACTTTCTCTCTCTCTCTCTCTCTCTATATATATATGTGTGTGCATCTTGTTCAAATTTTCAATCATTAATAAAACATACTTTCTATTCATCCGCTCAAATTAAAATACATTTTTTAAACTTGTAGAGATTGACACTTGATGTTAATACAGTTTTTTTAAATAATAATTCATTAATTAAATTAAAAAAATGAATAAATAGCAACAAAAAAATAATAGTACAACAGGATATATAGAAAGGAAAATTATTCATTGTGTCCCTGTAGCGCAATGGATAGCGCATTGAACTTCGAATTCAAAGGTCGTGGGTTCGCATTCTACCAGGGAGGGCCTAATTTCTAAGAATGTGATTTTTCAATGTCTAAATAGTAACAAAAACAAAAATAATAGTCCGACACCCTATATAGAAAGAAAAATGGAAAGTCACTTTCTATTTTGCCACTTAATATTGTGATTCTGTCATATGTCTATGCATATTAATATTAATGGTAACTATTTAACAAAAAGTAACTAGAATAATTTTTTCTTTTTTGACCTAAGTAGGAATTGACTTAATTTTTTTATTTTACATGTTTTATATAAAATACGAAGGCACCCCTCTACTTGATTTTGAAATATAGTGCATGTGCCTTAAGAAAAAAAATTCAATTAGTGAAAGTTTTTCAGAAAAAAGAGTTAAAGAAATAATGAGAGATTATCTGTTAATCTATCGTGAATTTTAATGGATGTTAATTTTCTTACTCTATTTATATTAATTAAAATATAATACTATTTTTAATCGTGATTCATAATGAATAATTATTTGTTAACATTATAATAGTTCAATTTCATTATTAGTCACTGAAATTAATATTCAGTTTTATTTCGAACTTATACTACACATATACAGTGTTAAGTGTTTAAAATTTCTGTTATCCTCTAAAATGCTGAAAATCTATATTCATCAAATAAATACGGTATGCAGAGGCGCACGCAGGAATTTTTCGAAGGATTTGGGTGGGTGGGGGGAGGTCCAGGGTCGAAAGTCCACCATTCTGTTATGTTCCAAAACACCAACCAACATATTCTTTTCATTTTTTTCGATTTTCGGGAACAAAAAATAATAATAAAAACTAGCATTAATTAATAAAATTAATTATTAATAACAAATGCTAGATTAAATTTTACGTACCATATTTATAAGATTATAATCAATCGAAAAAAAATCAAGGGCTTTGGGGTAGGGTCCAGACCCGGGGACTTCCCCCTCCCCTTGTGTGCACCACTGACGGTATGGTATACATACTGCGGGATAAAATCAAATTAGTAGTTAAATACGCCAAACTTGTTTGCTATTTTTTTTATTAAATTTCATGCTTTTATTATAGTGACACTTCGAAAGCAAGAAGGAATTTCTTTGAAAGTAGTTTTTTCTTAAATCAGGTAGCAAGTGAATATTTAAAACAGAGTCTTTGTTTTCCATATGAGATAAATCAAATGAAATGGTTTATTTAACAGTAAATATAACAAAAGCATACTCTAAATCCTTTTCCATTTTTGTACTTAAATACAAGAAATTTATACATATAAAAAATACATTCAGCAATGGAAAAAAGAAAAATGGTTTCGGACTTTTAACCATCTTCAAATACAATGTAATAAACCATTTGAAAATTCGCGTTAGAATCTTATAACGTGTTAAGTATCCTGTTTCATAAAGATAATTCAAGTATTGTGAGCTATATTCATAATACTTTAATGAAAACACATTCAAATAAATTTAAAAAGTGAGAAGATTTTATTCTTCTCCTTTCCTTAAAAATTTGAGTTAACCGTCTATACCAGTGACTCTCAACCAATGGCGCACGAAGGTCCTCGGGGTCCGAATCCCCCCTGCTAATAAATGCTAATTATTTATTCTATAATTAGTTTTTTACTGTGTTTTGTTCCCGAAAATCGACAAAATCAAAAAGGGCATGATACAAGAATGGTGAACTTTTGATCCCGGATCCCCCCCTTGAAAAATTCCTGTGTGCGCTACTGCTCTCAACCACTGTGCAGTGGCACTTTTGTGTGGGTCAACAAATTTTTTAAATTATTAATTATACTCCGAGAAAAAATAAATAAAAACAACCGAGACATCTGGCCGTTTTATTGAAATAAAATTCGTGGTATATTTAATATCCTTTCGTTGATAGTTGGATAGAAAAAAATTTGATTGTGTTTGAAAGACATTTGTAATAAGGAATATATCTATATACGAATTAAATATGAATGAAGAAGAAAACTAATTTTATATTCTGTAGTAATCAATATTTAGTTTTAAAATATTGAGAAAAGTCAATTAATTCATTTTGAATTAAAATTAGAGGCGATTATCTCATAATATTTAAGAAAAAAACCTTTAACAATATTGTCACAATTTTCTATAGCTTATTTGCATGAATTCGGATTTTCTGCATTAAAAAATATATAAATGAAAAAAGTTCGAGACTTTTAAATGTAGATGACGAAATGAGAGTGGCATTATCATTTTTACGACCAAATATAAACGAAATTATCAAAAATCCTCAAGCTCAAATTTAGCATTAAATGTATTCTTATAATTAAACTGTAATTATTAAACATTTTGTTGTCATTGTTGTACATATTATTTTATTTAAAAACGAAAATTATTGTCATTAATTATTTTCATCGTGTATTATAGATAAGAAAAATTCTTTTTAACTAATTTTATTGTTAGTGTGCCGCCAAATTTTGAAATAGCTAAAAGTGAACCATAACAAAAAAAAAAGGTCCAAAATCCCTGATCCACATGTATTCACATGGCCCAAAATTAAATTAATTTAAATTCAAATGTTAGAAGTCTATAAATCATATTGATAAAAAAAAAGAAAAAAAATCTTAACTCAGCTTAAAAAAAGATATCAAGAATACAGCACACAACGCGCAACAAGCAAACACAGCACATCAACGATTCAATTAATTTGTTTTCAACTAACCGAGAAAGCTCCCTCCATATTTGAAAGGTATCCCTTGGCAACGGAGGTGAAATCGTGGAGATCAACATCTTCTCCCCCGCCTCTTAAAACAGGGGAAGAAGGAGGTCCAGTCTAGCTGGCAAAAATAGCTAGCCAATAAAATTCAGCTTCTGGATAGGCGATGGTTTGAAGCCGCAGAAGAGGGACCAATCGGATTTGATCTATTTTCTTTTTACTCATCATCTGTCGAGCACTTTTCCTATATAACAGCGATTTCTCCAAATCAGCCGCCATTTCCGACTTGTACGTGAAACAGTGAAGACCGATAAGAAAGCTAAATTCAACATGTCTGACGTTTTTAAGCCAGGTAAGAAAGTTTATTTTCTTGCTATATTTATTTAATTATTTATTATTTATTATATTTATTTATAATTTTAGCTATATGAGAGATATATATAGTCAGTAATTTGTTTTGTAATTAATATGACAATTAAATGATCATAAAGCTCTTTAAAAAGATACCGTTGTATAATAAAATATTTAAAAATGTGTTATTGAAAACAGAGGGATTTAATGTTATTTCACTATCCTAAATCAGTGACAGCTCTAGAAAAAATAATAGGTTTCTTTTTCGGTCTATTGATTTTTTGTGTTTACTTATATTTTGGTAGGTTTTTATAGGTTTTCAAATCCATTTCCATCCATTTTTGCTTTGTAGGAATTACAATTTGTCTGTTCTTATTTTATTATACTATATATATATGTGACGCTTCTACAATTATTTAAGCTTTTTTATGAATGTAGTTAAAAAAAAAATAGAGCTTTCTTTTGAAATCAAAAGGAAAAATGGCTTGGTTTTTTTTTTATGAAATTAATTTTAATATAATCATTTAAACTCATTGGTGATATTTTTTTTGTTTTTATTTTACATAATAATTCCATTAAATATTGTAAAATTAAGATTGGCATTTCTATTAAAAAAGTATTATTTTTGTGTAATTTTCATACAATTTGAGCTATGATTCAGCATGTATTTACCTCAACTATGCTTTCCTTTCATAATTTGTAAAGGAAAAGGAAACTTTTAATTAGGGATCGAAGTGATTTGCGTAATTTAACCGTTCTCGTCTATTTTCATGATTTATTGTTGTGATAATTATCCATCCATTTGAAGAAGTATATATATATATATATACATGTATATATAATATATATATATATATATATATATATATATATATATATATATATATATATATGTGTGTATGTATATATGTTTTAGTATTTTAATTATTTTCGTAATATTAAAAGCTGTTCGTTCAGGATTTATATACAGTCGTTGAACTATATTTATATTTGTGTTAATATGCAGGCTGAAAAACCATCCGATGTATCAAATTTTGTTTGAATGCATATTTATAGAATATTACCCTTTATTTAATGAAACAACTTTTATACATTTCAGCTTACAAATTAAAATTTTTATTAAAAATTATGTATTAAAGAATATAGTTCAAGAGAAAATGAAACATTTTGAAAGTTTTGCATTTTGTAAAAAAAATCTGGAAAGCTTCTATACATCAGCAATTTCTTTAAGGTATCCGACTACGTTCGGAACCGTGATTTTGCAAAAGCGCATAAATGGATAATTTTCATGATATTTACTATCACTTAGATTCGAATATATGCATAAAATTGTTTTAAGGACATTTTGACAAATAAAATTTATTTAAATACAATATTTTGGCAAAAAATTAACTTAGAATATTCTTTTTTCCAAATGTTCTCCTTTTGTAAAAAATGCTTCTATTGTAATAATATTTTGCCTGTATATAGCTCAGACCTCTCTACAGAGGCTCAACTAGAATTTTTGAAACATATAACTTAGAAGAGGTTTTATTCATATTTTACGACAACAGAGGGGAGCAAATTTGAGGAAAAAAAACGCCAATAATTATTTCAATTGGTGGTAACTCTGGAAATAATGTGAATTTTTCAAAAATTCTAGTTGAGCCTCTGTAGATAGATCTGAGCTATATACAGGCAAAATATTATTATAATAGAACCATTTTTCACAAAAGGAGAACATTTGGAAAAAAGATTACTCTAAGTTAACTTTTTTTACCAAAATATTATATTTAAATAATTTTTTTTGTCAAAATGTCCTTAAAACAATTTTATGCATGTATTCTAATCTGAGTGATACTAAATATCATTAAAATTATCCATTTATGCGCTTTTTTAAAATCACGCTTCCGAACGTATTCGGATGGATACTTTGTCTTTTGGCTTATGTTTAAATTTTGAAAGTTTTTCCTATCTTTTAAACATATTTTTTTTTGAAAATGAAGCATTGTGCAAATACATAT